GAACCGGTAGGTGAAACCCCCGTTTTTCCGGAGGGCGGGGGGGGCGGGGTGGGGGAGGGGTTCGAACCTCCATACATACATACATTCATACATACATACATACATACATACAGAAAGACAGACAGACAGACAGACAGACAGACAGACAGACAGACAGACAGACAGACAGACAGACATACATACTAGAACCATCGCGCGCGCTTCGCGCGCGCTCAGGTTCTAGCAGGCCCCAGACCTTGACGAATTCATTGCTCCGCTGAAGTAGTGGACCACAATCCACGCATGCCAATCTGCATTCCGAAAGGCCTTCGAGGAAAATCTCTTGGGGAGCCTCTAGAGTCCGTCCTGGAACGTGTTGGAGTCCTCGTCGGCCGTCTTGAAGGCATCTTGGGCGTCTTCGGGGCCTCTTGGAACCGTCTAGGGCCCTCGGGACCTCCATTAGCTTGTCGTGGCCTGCTTCGGGGCGGGCCCGGGCCGCCTCGGGACCCCTGGGCCTTCTCTTGGCGCGCTCTTGGGGCACATTTGGGCTGTCTGGGGGGCATCCTGGGCCGTCTTGGGGCTTTCGTCGGGGTCTCGTGGGCCTTCTTGGAGCGATCTGAAGGGCCTCCGAGGCCGTGAGGGAGCGCTGGAAAGCGGGAAAAGCGAAAACGCCAAAATCCAAAACACTCGGATAACCAGCGAATATTGCCTTCCAGGGCCCTCTTGGGGAGCCTCTTGAGTCCGTCCTGGAGCGTGTTGGAGTCCTCGTCGGCTGTCTTGAGGGCATCTTGGGCGTCTTCGGGGCCTCGTGGGACCGTCTTGGGCCCTCTCGGGACCCCCTTAGCCTGTCGTGGCCTGCTTCGGGGCGGGCTCGGGCCGCCTCGGGAGCTCTGGACCCTCCCCCCGCAACCCCCGATGGGCACCGATGGGGGGAACAGGCAGCGGCCCGCCCCCCACCCCAGGTCTACTCCGAGATAGAGAATCATGTTCCCGGGAAGCTTTACCGAGGGGCGCCTTTTGCCCCTTGTCGGCAAGCCTATTGGAAACATGGTTGGGGCGGTGGGCGGATGCCCAAGGAATCATGTTCCCGGAAAGCTATCTGGGAAATACGATTTACAAAGTGTCTTGGGGGCACGCAGGGGGCTTCCCCGGGGGCCCCTTGGGGGCCTATTGGGGCTTCCGGGGGGCCTCTTGGGAGCCTCACGGGGCTTCTTGGGAGCCTCTTGATGGCCTCCGGGGGCGTCCTAGGAGCCTCTCAGGCCAGAGACCTTGAACTGTCGCTCTCTTCGGGCCCCTCTTGGGTTGCTCTTTGGGCTCTGTTGGGGCGCTCTCGAGGCCCTCTTGACTTATCTGGGGAGCCTCCTGGGCCGTCTCTGGGCTTTCTTGGGAACCTCTTCGGCCGTCTTGGAGCAATCTGAAAGGCATCTGACGCGGTCCGGGACCGTGGGGAGGCGGAACATGGGAGAGCGTAAGAATGCTTCAAAAACCATTGGAAAATGTATGATTTTCGGCTTCTGGGGCCCTTTGGAGGAGCCTCTGGAGGCGCTCTTGGGGCGTTTTGGCGGCGTCGTCGGCCGTCCTGCGGCCATCTTCGACGTGTCCGGGGCCTCTGGGGGCTGTCTTTGGGCGTCCTGGGAACCCGGAAATCATGTTCCCGTAGAGGCTTCCAGGAACATGATTTCGAACGAGGCCCTCTTGGGCCTCCCTGAGGCCGTCTTGGGGGCCTGCTGGGCTGGGTTTGGGGCCTCTTAGGCCGTCTCGGGAGGTTCCGTGAGCCCCACATGCCGACCCTTTTGGGCCGTCTTGGGCCCTCTTGGGGTCTCTCTTGGGCTGTCTTGGGGCTCAGCGGGGGCGTCTGGGGCACTGTGAAGACGAAGCCAGCGAGTACGCCGAAAATGTACGTTTTATTAAGGAAATGGGCATATGTTTGCCTCTTGAAGGCCCTCTTGGGGCCGAGGCTGTCCTGGTGCCCTTCTTGGGGGCCCTGGGAACCCAGAAGTCATGTTCCTGGAGAAGCTTCCGGGAACATGATTTCGAACGAGGCCCTCTTGGGTTTGTGAGGCCGTCTCGGGAGGGTCCGTGAGCCCCACAGAACGACCCTTTTGGGCCGTCTGGGGCCCTCGTGGGTCTCTCTTGGGCTGTCTTGGGGCTCCTCGGGGGCGTCTGGGGCACTGCGAAGACGAAGCCAGCGAATACGCTGAAAGTGTACGTTTTACGGTGGAAATGGGTATATGTTTGCCTCTTGAAGGCCCTCTCGGGGCCCTCTTCGGCCATCTTCAAGCCATCTCGGGCCCTCTTTGGCCTCCCTGAGGCCGTCTTGGGGGCCTCCTGGGCCGGCTTTGGAGCCTCTTAGGCCGTCTCGGGGGGTTCCGTGAGCCCCACAGGACGACCCTTTTGGGCCGTCTGGGGCCCTCTTGGGTCTCTCTTGGGCTGTGTTGGGGTTCCGCGGGGGCGTCTCGGGCACTGTGAAGACGAAGCCAGCGAGTATGCCGATAATGTACGTTTTACGAAGAGACTGGCCGATGTTT